GAGAGAGAGAGAGAGAGAGAGAGAGAGAGAGAGAGATGATCATGGTATTTTGTTGATTTTTAACAAACATACTTTCCATATAAATTTTAATACTTGTATTAGTATATAATAACTTGGGAAAATCAAAATATTTTTTACCAAGTAATCTAAATGAGAAATTTTTGAAAGTATGGTGATTAAGTGTAGACAACAAAAATAACAATGACATACATGGCTGCACAACAAAATTAAAGTACATGACATAAGTGAACAAATCAATAAGCAGACTGTTATTTTATGAAAAAAAATCGCTTCTTCTTTTAACCAATGAAACATTACCTATAATAATCAAGCAAAGTGAGATGCGTCCATTGATGTATCTTTGATATAAACAAGCCATGAGTGTTGTTAAAACCATGCATTCATTAACCAACAGAATAACACAACAATGTCTGATGCTTATTGTTCATTTTACTACTATTTCACGTGCGTCTTGCTTGATTGTTCATTTTGCTGGATGAGTTCTTGAATATACCAGAAGAAGTTGATTCACTTTTACCAATCTTCACAGGAACCATTTTGGTTTCCTTGCATTTCTCTCTCTTTTGCATATTGATTTCCATCTTCAATGCATTTAGTTTCCCTTTTATGTCCATAATTTCAGGAGACACCACAAATATATTTCTCACACCTTTTAATGATACACTACTCGACACTCTTTCTCTTTCTTTACCACTTGTTTGTACTCTTGAAGGTCCTGGACTACTACTTCTTTCACCTGTCTTTTTTGCTTGAATCTTTCTCTCTTTTCCATGCTGTGTAGATTCAGTTTTAGACAACCCAATCAATAACAAAGATTTGTACAAATTGCTAATCCAAAATATATATGATAAGATAAGAGAAATATAAGAAAATGCAACTCACATCCTCAAAGAGTGTAGTCTTGGTTCGTGGGTACAATGTTGTTGACTGTTTTATGGTACGATCTGGAGTTTGACTAGTGGGACGTGTTTTTAAAGATGAGCTGGCGGATGAATCACGGTTTGATGACCTGTGTTGAAGGGTAGTACCCCTACCTGTGGATATTGACCTTTGGTTGACTTTATAGGTTGATGATAATGATGATGATGCGAGTGATGTGCTTGAAGTGGAGCTGGATAGCCCTAAAGGTGATGAAGGATGATGAGAGTGAACTGGTGATGATTTATTCTTCAAGGTGATGATCAATTGTTTACCAGGTTTTTGTTCATCTTTTCTTCTTGCATTGGTTGATGAGGATCTACGAGGAGCACTGGTATTACCTCTTGATGATCTTTGATTGAGAGCAAAGGTTGAAGATGATGATCCTGGTGACCCTGGACTATTGGGACTACCAGGTGATGATGTTCTTGAAGAAATGTGAGATGGAAGATGAGATTTAGAGGGTGAATCAGCTTTGGCTTTACCAGTTTTGGATCTTGTGCTGTTTCTTGTAATGGTTGTTGATGATTTAACATTGCTCAATGGAGAATTGTGTCTTGATGTTGTTGGTTTTGTTTTGATCTTGTTGAATTTTTTGGTTGAAGCTTCTTCCATCTCTTGGAACAATTCAGCTTCGAGATTTTTAATCTCTTGAAGTGGTTGTAACTGGTGTTTGACATTGTTCCCATCTGCTTTAATTATGCTTGACAACTCATCCTCATCAAGAACACCTGTTTAAAAACAAAGGAGAGAAAGTAAAGAGTGATGCTATGGATATGAAAGATTATTGAAGTTTTTGTAATTTGTAGCATACCATCACTAGTGAAAAAGGCTCTATCCCATGCGAAACTTGATGATTTAAGCAGTTGAGGTTTTAGTTTAGTCTGTTCATTGCTGTGTGCCATGTCTGCTCTGTTATTGCTCTGTTATCAGTTCAAATATATTTCAATGAAGATATCTGCCTAGGGATGAAAGTGGGTCCAAACCCGGACCGGAAAACCCGGAACCGGTTAACATGATTTTGTAGAACCGGAAACCGGACCGGTATATAAGAACCGGTTCCGGTTCGGTTCTGGGTACGGTAACGGGTAAAGTGGGTCTAGAACCGAAAAACCCGGAAACATCAAAGTGGGTAGG